TAATTTTGTTGTAAAAATTTCCAACTTTAGTTAGTTAGACTGACTTTATGGGTGGATATTTGAAAACAATCGAATTTTTCTCATTTTTCTTGAAATTTTCAAATGGAACGGTATATTTAGGATACGTTCAATCGATTTTTGAGGATGTTTTACACAGTTTTTTTTTATTATACCTTCCTACAAACGAATTCCAGAGAGTGTTAAATTTAATTTTATCAAAAATAATCAATATTTATGAAAAAGCCCTCGTAAATAATGACTTCGTTTTCTGACAGTTGATTGTCATCATTGATGAGCGTCAAATAATGAAAAAAGTGCGTTAGGAAATTATAGTGCCAGAACGTTGGTTGTATTTTCCTCGCACGTGGCCCTACGTCTTCGAGTGAAAAAGGGGGTATGAATAGGTACTACCCGTAACCCTTAAACGATTATTCAACCTCCTGATGGATCTAGGGTCAGGGTGAGGTCTTTGGGGATAATGCCCTGAATAAATACGTGCTGCGATTGCTGCATTTCCGTTACATTCATGCAGATCAAGGATGTCTTGTGCTTCTCCATTTGGGAAATGCATTTTGACTTTAGAAAATAACGTTTGGAGTGAGTTCGAAATCACCCTGGGGCGTCACACCGAGTGCACACCAGCTATAAATTATATAAAGTTTGTTTTTTATTTAAAGATAATTTAGTAACTATGTTGGCAACATAAGCCTTTTCTACATAAAAAATTTGAAAGCATTGACAATTTTAAATTGTATTGCCAACATAATGTCATTTTGACTTTTATCTTTAAAAAAAAAACAGACTTTAAACTCTGTTTTTTTTTTAAAGATAAAAGTCAAAATGACATTATGTTGGCAATACAATGTAAAATTGTCAATGCTTTCAAATTTTTCATCTAGAAAAGGCTTGTGTTGCCAACATAGTTACTAAATTTTTGACTTGGGGAATTATCTTAAAAAAAAAAAAAAGATTTTATTTACAATCATACATGTAATGTTGACTTTACTGACTTTTAAAAAGTTCGAAAATGTCACTTTTTTGACTTTTACTTTCGGCCCACGGGTCGAAAGTTTACTTTCGACCCGTGGGCCGAAAGTGAATGAAATTTTTAAAATTTATTGTATTTTTTGACTTTTACTTTCGGCCCACGGGTCGAAAGTAAACTTTCGACCCGTGGGCCGAAAGTAAATGAAATTGTTAATTATTGTATTTTTTAGTTTTAATCCAAATGAAAATTTCAAAATTCGAATGATTGTAAATAAAAATGACGGCAGGAAAGGGGTTGTCCTTTGTAGGGAATGTTTGAAATGGTTCTAGCTATCGTCCCAATCAAGTTTCAGAGCGTTACAGTTTTCTGAAATGTGCTTTTCTATTTTTTTTTCTATTTTCGTACTAAGGGTAGTTCTTAACACACTCTGACGGCAGGAAAGGGGTTGTCCTTTGTAGGCAATGTTTGAAACGGTTCTAGCTATCGTCCCAATCAAGTTTTAAAGCGTTACAGTTTTCCGAAATGTGCCTTTCCAATTTTTTTTCTATTATTTTCGTACTAAGGGTAGTTTTTAACACACTCTGACGGCAGGTAAGGGGTTGTCCTTCGTAGGGAATGTTTGAAATGGTTCTAGCTATCGTCCCAATCAAGTTTCAGAGCGTTACAGTTTTCCGAAATGTGCTTTTCCATTTTTTTTCTATTATTTTCGTACTAAGGATAGTTTTTAACACACTCTGACGGCAGGTAAGGGGTTGTCCCTGTAGGGAATGTTTGAAATGGTTCTAGCTATCGGCCCAATCAAGTTTCAGAGCGTTACAGTTTTCTGAAATGTGCTTTTCTATTTTTTTTTCTATTTTCGTACTAAGGGTAGTTCTTAACACACTCTGACGGCAGGAAAGGGGTTGTCCTTTGTAGGGAATGTTTGAAACGGTTATAGCTATCGTCCCAATCAAGTTTTAGAGCGTTACAGTTTTCCGAAATGTGCTTTTCCAATTTTTTTCTATTATTTTCGTACTAAGGGTAGTTTTTAACACACTCTGACGGCAGGTGAAAGGTTGTCCCTGTAGGGAATGTATGAAATGGTTCTAGCTATCGGCCCAATCAAGTTTCAGAGCGTTACAGTTTTCTGAAATGTGCTTTTCTATTTTTTTTTCTATTTTCGTACTAAGGGTAGTTCTTAACACACTCTGACGGCAGGAAAGGGGTTGTCCTTTGTAGGGAATGTTTGAAACGGTTATAGCTATCGTCCCAATCAAGTTTTAGAGCGTTACAGTTTTCCGAAATGTGCTTTTCCAATTTTTTTCTATTATTTTCGTACTAAGGGTAGTTTTTAACACACTCTGACGGCAGGTGAAAGGTTGTCCCTGTAGGGAATGTTTGAAATGGTTCTAGCTATCGGCCCAATCAAGTTTCAGAGCGTTACAGTTTTCTGAAATGTGCTTTTCTATTTTTTTTTCTATTTTCGTACTAAGGGTAGTTCTTAACACACTCTGACGGCAGGAAAGGGGTTGTCCTTTGTAGGGAATGTTTGAAACGGTTCTAGCTATCGTCCCAATCAAGTTTTAGAGCGTTACAGTTTTCCGAAATGTGCTTTTCCAATTTTTTTCTATTATTTTCGTACTAAGGGTAGTTTTTAACACACTCTGACGGCAGGTGAAAGGTTGTCCCTGTAGGGAATGTTTGAAATGGTTCTAGCTATCGGCCCAATCAAGTTTCAGAGCGTTACAGTTTTCTGAAATGTGCTTTTCTATTTTTTTTTCTATTTTCGTACTAAGGGTAGTTCTTAACACACTCTGACGGCAGGAAAGGGGTTGTCCTTTGTAGGCAATGTTTGAAACGGTTCTAGCTATCGTCCCAATCAAGTTTTAAAGCGTTACAGTTTTCCGAAATGTGCCTTTCCAATTTTTTTTCTATTATTTTCGTACTAAGGGTAGTTTTTAACACACTCTGACGGCAGGTAAGGGGTTGTCCTTCGTAGGGAATGTTTGAAATGGTTCTAGCTATCGTCCCAATCAAGTTTCAGAGCGTTACAGTTTTCCGAAATGTGCTTTTCCATTTTTTTTCTATTATTTTCGTACTAAGGATAGTTTTTAACACACTCTGACGGCAGGTAAGGGGTTGTCCCTGTAGGGAATGTTTGAAATGGTTCTAGCTATCGGCCCAATCAAGTTTCAGAGCGTTACAGTTTTCTGAAATGTGCTTTTCTATTTTTTTTTCTATTTTCGTACTAAGGGTAGTTCTTAACACACTCTGACGGCAGGAAAGGGGTTGTCCTTTGTAGGGAATGTTTGAAACGGTTATAGCTATCGTCCCAATCAAGTTTTAGAGCGTTACAGTTTTCCGAAATGTGCTTTTCCAATTTTTTTCTATTATTTTCGTACTAAGGGTAGTTTTTAACACACTCTGACGGCAGGTGAAAGGTTGTCCCTGTAGGGAATGTATGAAATGGTTCTAGCTATCGGCCCAATCAAGTTTCAGAGCGTTACAGTTTTCTGAAATGTGCTTTTCTATTTTTTTTTCTATTTTCGTACTAAGGGTAGTTCTTAACACACTCTGACGGCAGGAAAGGGGTTGTCCTTTGTAGGGAATGTTTGAAACGGTTATAGCTATCGTCCCAATCAAGTTTTAGAGCGTTACAGTTTTCCGAAATGTGCTTTTCCAATTTTTTTCTATTATTTTCGTACTAAGGGTAGTTTTTAACACACTCTGACGGCAGGTGAAAGGTTGTCCCTGTAGGGAATGTTTGAAATGGTTCTAGCTATCGGCACAATCAAGTTTCAGAGCGTTACAGTTTTCTGAAATGTGCTTTTCTATTTTTTTTTCTATTTTCGTACTAAGGGTAGTTCTTAACACACTCTGACGGCAGGAAAGGGGTTGTCCTTTGTAGGCAATGTTTGAAACGGTTCTAGCTATCGTCCCAATCAAGTTTTAAAGCGTTACAGTTTTCCGAAATGTGCCTTTCCAATTTTTTTTCTATTATTTTCGTACTAAGGGTAGTTTTTAACACACTCTGACGGCAGGTAAGGGGTTGTCCTTCGTAGGGAATGTTTGAAATGGTTCTAGCTATCGTCGCAATCAAGTTTCAGAGCGTTACAGTTTTCCGAAATGTGCTTTTCCATTTTTTTTCTATTATTTTCGTACTAAGGGTAGTTTTTAACACACTCTGACGGCAGGTAAGGGGTTGTCCCTGTAGGGAATGCTTGAAATGGTTCTAGCTATCGGCCCAATCAAGTTTCAGAGCGTTACAGTTTTCTGAAATGTGCTTTTCTATTTTTTTTTCTATTTTCGTACTAAGGGTAGTTCTTAACACACTCTGACGGCAGGAAAGGGGTTGTCCTTTGTAGGGAATGTTTGAAACGGTTATAGCTATCGTCCCAATCAAGTTTTAGAGCGTTACAGTTTTCCGAAATGTGCTTTTCCAATTTTTTTCTATTATTTTCGTACTAAGGGTAGTTTTTAACACACTCTGACGGCAGGTGAAAGGTTGTCCCTGTAGGGAATGTTTGAAATGGTTCTAGCTATCGGCCCAATCAAGTTTCAGAGCGTTACAGTTTTCTGAAATGTGCTTTTCTATTTTTTTTTCTATTTTCGTACTAAGGGTAGTTCTTAACACACTCTGACGGCAGGAAAGGGGTTGTCCTTTGTAGGGAATGTTTGAAACGGTTCTAGCTATCGTCCCAATCAAGTTTTAGAGCGTTACAGTTTTCCGAAATGTGCTTTTCCAATTTTTTTCTATTATTTTCGTACTAAGGGTAGTTTTTAACACACTCTGACGGCAGGTGAAAGGTTGTCCCTGTAGGGAATGTTTGAAATGGTTCTAGCTATCGGCCCAATCAAGTTTCAGAGCGTTACAGTTTTCTGAAATGTGCTTTTCTATTTTTTTTTCTATTTTCGTACTAAGGGTAGTTTTTAACACACTCTGACGGCAGGTAAGGGGTTGTCCTTTAGGGAATGTTTGAAACGGTTCTAGCTATCGTCCCAATCAAGTTTTAGAGCGTTACAGTTTTCCGAAATGTGCTTTTCCAATTTTTTTCTATTATTTTCGTACTAAGGGTAGTTTTTAACACACTCTGACGGCAGGTGAATGGTTGTCCCTGTAGGGAATGTTTGAAATGGTTCTAGCTATCGTCCCAATCAAGTTTCAGAGCGTTACAGTTTTCCGAAATGTGCTAATCCAAATTTTGTCTATTATTTTCGTACTATGGGTAGTTTTTAACACACTCTGACGGCAGGTAAGGGGTTGTCCTTTGTAGGGAATGTTTGAAATGGTTCTAGCTATCGTCCCAATCAAGTTTCAGAGCATTACATTTTTCCGAAATGTGCTTTTCCAATTATTTTAATAATAAGGGTTGATCCCAGCCTGACGGCAATAAGGGGTTGTTCTCCGAACTAGACGTACTTGAGGGCTATGTTAAAGACTATTCTAAATTTCATGGTGTTACGTTTTATTTTAAAAAAGTTGTTTTGTCGATATTAATGTTCTACTTGATGTTTTATTAGGGGTAGTTTTTTTTTGTTTTCCTGTTGTACTTTATACGAGGGTATATAATAATAATGTACACAAAATTTGTAAATCAACCATTTAAAAAAAAGAGCTGCCAAAAATGGCTGCTAACTTCACAATTTTGGCTGCTACAAATGGCTGCTAAGTTCACATTTTTGGCTGCTGCAAAAAGGCTGCTAACTTCACACCGGTGTTAAAAACTACCCTTAGTACGAAAATAATAGACAAAATTTGGATTAGCACATTTCGGAAAACTGTAACGCTCTGAAACTTGATTGGGACGATAGCTAGAACCATTTCAAACATTCCCTACAAAGGACAACCCCTTACCTGCCGTCAGAGTGAGTTAAAAACTACCCTTAGTACGAAAATAATAGAAAAAAATTGGAAAAGCACATTTCGGAAAACTGTAACGCTCTAAAACTTGATTGGGACGATAGCTAGAACCGTTTCAAACATTCCCTACAAAGGACAACCCCTTACCTGCCGTCAGAGTGTGTTAAAAACTACCCTTAGTACGAAAATAATAGAAAAAAATTGGAAAGGCACATTTCGGAAAACTGTAACGCTCTAAAACTTGATTGGGACGATAGGTAGAACCGTTTCAAACATTCCCTACAAAGGACAACCCCTTACCTGCCGTCAGAGTGTGTTAAAAACTACCCTTAGTACGAAAATAATAGAAAAAAATTGGAAAAGCACATTTCGGAAAACTGTAACGCTCTAAAACTTGATTGGGACGATAGCTATAACCGTTTCAAACATTCCCTACAAAGGACAACCCCTTTCCTGCCGTCAGAGTGTGTTAAGAACTACCCTTAGTACGAAAATAGAAAAAAAAAATAGAAAAGCACATTTCAGAAAACTGTAACGCTCTGAAACTTGATTGGGCCGATAGCTAGAACCATTTCAAACATTCCCTACAGGGACAACCATTCACCTGCCGTCAGAGTGTGTTAAAAACTACCCTTAGTACGAAAATAATAGAAAAAAAATTGGAAAGGCACATTTCGGAAAACTGTAACGCTTTAAAACTTGATTGGGACGATAGCTAGAACCGTTTCAAACATTGCCTACAAAGGACAACCCCTTTCCTGCCGTCAGAGTGTGTTAAGAACTACCCTTAGTACGAAAATAGAAAAAAAAATAGAAAAGCACATTTCAGAAAACTGTAACGCTCTGAAACTTGATTGGGACGATAGCTAGAACTATTTCAAACATTTCCTACAAAGGACAACCCCTTACCTGTCGTCAGAGTGTGTTAAAAACTACCCTTAGTACGAAAATAATAGAAAAAAATTGGAAAAGCACATTTCGGAAAACAGTAACGCTCTGAAACTTGATTGGGACGATAGCTAGAACCGTTTCAAACATTGCCTACAAAGGACAACCCCTTTCCTGCCGTCAGAGTGTGTTAAGAACTACCCTTAGTACGAAAATAGAAAAAAAAATAGAAAAGCACATTTCAGAAAACTGTAACGCTCTGAAACTTGATTGGGACGATAGCTAGAACTATTTCAAACATTTCCTACAAAGGACAACCCTTTACCTGCCGTCAGAGTGTGTTAAAAACTACCCTTAGTACGAAAATAATAGAAAAAAATTGGAAAAGCACATTTCGGAAAACTGTAACGCTCTGAAACTTGATTGGGACGATAGCTAGAACCATTTCAAACATTCCCTACAAAGGACAACCCCTTACCTGCCGTCAGAGTGTGTTAAAAACTACCCTTAGTACGAAAATAATAGAAAAAAAATGAAAAGGCACATTTCGGAAAACTGTAACGCTCTGAAACTTGATTGGGACGATAGCTAGAACCATTTCAAACATTCCCTACGAAGGACAACCCCTTACCTGCCGTCAGAGTGTGTTAAAAACTACCCTTGGTACGAAAATAATAGAAAAAAATTGAAAAAGCATATTTCGGAAAACTGTAACGCTCTGAAACTTGATTGGGACGATAGCTAGAACCATTTCAAACATTCCTTCCAAAGGACAACCCCTTACCTGCCGTCAGAGTGTGTTAAAAACTACCCTTAGTACGAAAATAATAGAAAAAAATTGAAAAGGCACATTTCGGAAAACTGTAACGCTCTGAAACTTGATTTGGACGATAGCTAGAACTATTTCAAACATTCCCTACAAAGGACAACCCCTTACCTGCCGTCAGAGTGTGTTAAAAACTACCCTTAGTACGAAAATAATAGGAACAAATTGGAAAAGCACATTTCGGAAAACTGTAACGTTCTGAAACTTGATTGGGACGATATGAATGTTTGAAATGGTTCTATTTCAAACATTCCCACCAAAGGACATCCCCTTACCTGCCGTCATTTGTTCTTTGATGTCAATGAAACTTGGTAGGCTTGATAGTCTAACCTAACGAAACGCCATTTTTGTGTATCCGCGACAAGTTTTCCTGACTTCCGGTTTCATCGGAGATTACCGAAACTTTTGATTTTCAAATGGCACACCCTGTATATTTTTTGTTTTTTGGATCTTACAGATCGTTTTACGCCCTAATGTACCACTTTTAAATCAAGTTTTATCCAGATTTCGTTTTGAAATTAAATTTTAAGCAGAAAAAAAAAAACCTGCATAATGCAGTAAACATATTTGAACGAAAACTAAGGAAAATGTCGTAGTGTATTATATCGTTGGATTCGCTTTGAAATACTTCATTTAGTGTTATTCTGAAAGTGATATGTTTCTTTTTTTGTTATTGAGCTAGGGCGAAAATATTAAAATGATGAAGTTTACAGCCCTCGCCATCAAAAAAGTTTACAAATATAAAATTGAGTTTATATTTTTCTGAAATTAAGTAAAGTGCGTAGGAGTCACTTCAGGATGATCATGGCACTTTGGTTAAAGAATTAAAATTAAATTTAAAAACAAAATTTGGACAAAACTCGATTCAAAAGTGGTGCATTAGGACATAAAACGATCTGTAGAATCCGAAAAACAAAAAATATACAGGGTGTGCCATTTAAAAGTCAAAAGTTCCGGTAATTTCCGGTGAAACCGGAAGTCAGGAAAACTTGTCAAATAAAAATGGCGTTTGGTTTAGACAAATAAAAAAATGACAGCCGGAAAATGATCTCGTGGGCACCCGGTATAATTTGCTTAGGAACTTTATATGTCTTTCTACGGCATTCTGACGTTATTACTACTTCAGCTAGAATTCTCAAATTTGAAATAGTTATTCTTTGGGATACTGGCTAGAATTTAACGCTTAAAGCCCGCATTACATCTGTGTATTTTTGTGTGTATTTCCACATGTATTTATAAATGAAAAAACACATAGATGTGATGCGGACTTAACAGAGCCAGATTTTTCAATTTCGATCTAGAAAAAAAAATGACAAGAACGTGTTTTAGTTTTAGCGGACTCTGCGTGCGTTTTATTTCTGAACCACATACTTGGCACTTTATGTGAAAAAGTTATAATTATTCTAGAAGAGAATATTACGCTACGACCTACAACACACATTTATTTAATATCAAAAATATTCTTTTTCATTACAAAATGCCAGTGGAAAAAATCATTTATGTATACAACACGTGACAAGGCAAAGCGATGTCTTTTAGTCACTCGACGTGTTGCTCAACTCGGCTTTTCCTCATTGAACAATTTTTATGTCATGTGCCTAAAAAACGATCATTTCGTAACTTACACATCAAGTTATACGACATTATGCTATAATCAAAACTTAAGTTAACAGCTTTGCAATGTAGAAATATTAGAAAATAAAGTCTCAATATTTTGTTAGCTGTAAAACTATGAATCTTGAACTTGGATGGTCCCAATATTAACAGCAACAGCATTCAGCAAAACATAAAAATATTCAGCTCCGTCAAGTTAGCCCCGCCTATTTACTTTGTCTATTTTTTTTTCGTGCTAATTAACTGTGCTCCCAGTGTGCTCTACTGTGCTACTAATATTAGGAACTGTGTTGAGTTGCTATCCACCAAATTTTCAGGGGGGCCAACTTGACGCTTAGCCCACCAGTTTTTTCGATTATTTTATCGAACCAAAGCAAAAATCAATTCCTACAACTTTCAGTTTTTCGTTTAAACCTAATGCTATAACTAGGCCAACTTGACGCTGAGCCCCCCCCCCCCCACCCCGTTTTTTCAATTATTTTCATACTAAGGGTAGTTTTTAACAGACTCCGACGACAGGTAAGGGGTTGTCCTTTGGTAGGAATGTTCGAACTTTTTCTAGTTATCATCAAAATCAAGTTTCAGAGCGTTACAGTTTTCCAAAATGTGCTTTTCCAATTTTTTTATTTTTTTCCATTATTTTCATACTAAGGGTAGTTTTTAACACACTCTGACGGCAGGTAAGGGGTTGCCCTTTGAAGCGAATGTTTGAAATAGTTTTAGCTATCGTCCTAATCAAGTTTCAGAGCGTTACAGTTTTCCGAAATGCGCTTTTCCAATTTTTTTCTATTATTTTCGTACTAAGGGTGGTTTTTAACACACTCTGACGGCAGGTAAGGGGTTGTTCTTTGTAGGGAATGTTTAAAATGGTTCTAGCTATCGTCCCAATCAAGTTTCAGAGCGTTACAGTTTTCCGAAATGTGCTTTTCCAATTTTTGTCTATTATTTTCGTACTAAGGGTAGTTTTTAACACACTCTGACGGCAGGTAAGGGGTTGTCCTTTGTAGGGAATGTTTGAAATAGTTCTAGCTATCGTCCCAATCAAGTTTCAGAGCGTTACAGTTTTCCAAAATGTGCTTTTCCAATTTTTTTCTATTATTTTCGTACTAATGGTAGTTTTTAACACACTCTGACGGCAGGTAAGGGGTTGTCCTTTGTAGGGAATGTTTGAAATAGTTCTAGCTATCGTCCCAATCAAGTTTCAGAGCGTTACAGTTTTCCGAAATGTGCTTTTCCAATTTTTTTCTATTATTTTCGTACTAAGGATAGTTTCTAACACACTCTGACGGCAGGTGAGGGGTTGTCCTTTGTAGGAAATGTTTAAAATGGTTCTAGCTATCGTCCCAATCAAGTTTCAGAGCGTTACAGTTTTCCGAAATGTGCTTTTCCAATTTTTGTCTATTATTTTCGTACTAAGTGTAGTTTTTAACACACTCTGACGGCAGGTAAGGGGTTGTCCTTTGTAGGGAATGTTTGAAATAGTTCTAGCTATCGTCCCAATCAAGTTTCAGAGCGTTACAGTTTTCCAAAATGTGCTTTTCCAATTTTTTTCTATTATTTTCGTACTAATGGTAGTTTTTAACACACTCTGACGGCAGGTAAGGGGTTGTCCTTTGTAGGGAATGTTTGAAATAGTTCTAGCTATCGTCCCAATCAAGTTTCAGAGCGTTACAGTTTTCCGAAATGTGCTTTTCCAATTTTTTTCTATTATTTTCGTACTAAGGATAGTTTCTAACACACTCTGACGGCAGGTGAGGGGTTGTCCTTTGTAGGAAATGTTTAAAATGGTTCTAGCTATCGTCCCAATCAAGTTTCAGAGCGTTACAGTTTTCCGAAATGTGCTTTTCCAATTTTTGTCTATTATTTTCGTACTAAGTGTAGTTTTTAACACACTCTGACGGCAGGTAAGGGGTTGTCCTTTGTAGGGAATGTTTGAAATAGTTCTAGCTATCGTCCCAATCAAGTTTCAGAGCGTTACAGTTTTCCGAAATGTGCTTTTCCAATTTTTTTCTATTATTTTCGTACTAAGGGTAGTTTTTAACACACTCTGACGGCAGGTAAGGGGTTGTCCTTTGTAGGGAATGTTTGAAATAGTTCTAGCTATCGTCCTAATCAAGTTTCAGAGCGTTACAGTTTTCCGAAATGTGCTTTTCCAATTTTTTTCTATTATTTTCGTACTAAGGGTATTTTTAACACACTCTGACGGCAGCTAAGGGGTTGTTCTTTGTAGGGAATGTTTGAAATAGTTTTAGCTATCGTCCTAATCAAGTTCCAGAGCGATACAGTTTTCCGAAATGTGCTTTTCCAATTTTTTTCTATTATTTTCGTACTAAGGGTAGTTTTTAACACACTCTGACGGCAGGTAAGGGGTTGGTCTTTGTAGGGAATGTTTGAAATAGTTTTAGCTATCGTCCTAATCAAGTTTCAGAGCGTTACAGTTTTCCGAAATGTGCTTTTCCAATTTTTTTCTATTATTTTCGTACTAAGGGTAGTTTTTAACACACTCTGACGGCAGGTAAGGGGTTGTCCTTTGTAGGGAATGTTTGAAATAGTTCTAGCTATCGTCCCAATCAAGTTTCAGAGCGTTACAGTTTTCCGAAATGTGCTTTTCCAATTTTTTTCTATTATTTTCTTACTAAGGGTAGTTTTTAACACACTCTGACGGCAGGTAAGGGGTTTTCCTTTATAGGGAATGTTTGAAAGGGTTCTAGCTATCGTCCCAATCAAGTTTCAGAGCGTTACAGTTTTCCAAAATGTGCTTTTCCAATTTTTTTCTATTATTTTCGTACTAAGGGTAGTTTTTAACACACTCTGACGGCAGGTAAGGGGTTGTCCTTCGTAGGGAATATTTGAAATAGTTCTAGCTATCGTCCCAATCAAGTTTCAGAGCGTTATAGTTTTCCAAAATGTGCTTTTCCAATTTTTTTTCTATTATTTTCGTACTAAGGGTAGTTTTTAACACACTCTGACGGCAGGTAAGGGGTTGTCCATTGTAGGGAATGTTTGAAATAGTTCTAGCTATCGTCCCAATCAAGTTTCAGAGCGTTACAGTTTTCCGAAATGTGCTTTTCCAATTTTTTTCTATTATTTTCTTACTAAGGGTGCGCGAACATAGTTGCCAAAAGTAGGAAAAAAAATTACTAGCATACTGTCAACGTGTCAACATTAAAAACAAAAGTTACTGAATAAATTACATTTAAAATTTAAATTTACCGCCTGTTATGAATGTGTTTGAAAAGAAAAGCCATCAATTTTAGCTTGTATTGGGCAGAATAGAAATAATAAAATAGTTACCTATCTGCTTCCATCAATCAGAGAGAGAAAGTAAACAAACAAAAAGGATAGTGAGGATCAATCATTGAATTGAGTTACTTTTGTTTTTAATGTTGACAGCCCGCTAGTAATTTTTGTTTTCTTGTTTTGGCAACTATGTTCGCGCACCGCAATATGGCGTCCAAACAAAAGGTCAATTTTCACTGACAATTAAAGGAAACTAAAAAAAAAAGTGGGATGTCCGTTCAGTGCTTTCGTAGTAAATAGCGCCAAAATACAAAAAATTGGAATTCGTCTACAAACAGCCCTCCACTGTGATGAGATGGAGACAAAATTAGAAAAGTACCTACTTCCAAGAAAAATTTATCAGTTATGTTTTTTGTAGACATTACCTGGACATTGAATATTTACATGGGTACAATCTATGGCCCCAGTCACCCCTGGAAATCGTGCTAGTTGGTAAAATTTCTCTTTTGTTTCTAATTCCTGCTTAAATGTTTGGGGCATGTGGACATGGCGGGGCCTTGTTCCAGCTATAGCTCTAGAACATTTATCGATGATATGTGAAGCAGTGTTTTGGGCATATCCCATAAAATCACCTATGGATGTTTGATGGCCATTTGAACCATAAAATCTTAGGGTCATTAGCAGCTGATTCATTGAGGATACTGGGTTGTTACTGAAAAAATTTATTTAACACTCCGCAATTCGGCAACAAATACAGGATGGTGCATAGTTAGTATAATAACCAATCATTGTATAGGTTCGCTCAATTATGAACTAGTCAATGAAATCCAGCCACTGCAACAAGTGAGGCAACAAGTCTCATTGGAAACTTGGGATTACTTGTCGTTTCAGCTGCACCCATTATGTAATGAAAGCATTAATTTATTCATTATGCATACTTACATTCTATTATTATATCCCAGGTGCTCTTCCACTTCCTCCAATAATAGTCCTTGGGCCCAGATCTAAATTTATTATTTATGACCACACCGTCGAAACTTTTTGTATTTGTTATTTGGGTGGAGTCGGACAAATTTGGAGCTTAGAGCATTATGGTAGTGGGGCCTTTGTCTGTCAAGCTGTCACGAAGTTGTCGATTTTATGCAAGAAAAAAATTTATGACCACATTGGTAATTTTTTTTTAATCAATAGTTTTTATCACATAAACAATGAAAAAAAATGTGTCGGACAAAAATATTGGGGCATTCGAAGCGTCGGACACGCTAAATATGTCAAATTTATGGGATTTTTTTTTATTACCACACGGCTGATTTCAACAGAATCTGTCATAAAAATATTTTGCAATAATGTGGTAACCTTGTCGGACAATTTTCACGGGGCATATGCGCAGTCGGAAGCGCCAAAGATGTCAATTTCCTGCAAAAATTTTATTTACAACCATTTTTCCGACAAAAATAGGAGGGTCTAAGTAATTATATTCTAAATCAAAAAATCTAAGTGTCGGACAAAAATATTGGGGCATATCGACAGTCGGACAAAAAATGTAATTTTTATTGCTAATCGATATTTCTTAACTATACTGGGTTCAGGTATCCCTTTTTTTACAAATATTTTTCCGACAACAGTAGAAGGTTACCAGTAATAATATTCTTAAATAAAAAATGTCATTGTCTGACAAAAATGTTGGGGCAAACATACAAGAAATTTAATTCTTATAGGCTATCGACGTTCTTAAATTATAAGGATGAGTTAATGCTTATATTACTTTATATAAACATATAAGTACCTACATATAAAGAAAAAATACATAAAATATTATCATTAAATATTATTTTTCGACGAGCGTGCATTTTTTATCACTTTCCCGCACGCATCTTAGTTCCGAAAATGTCACTTTCCCGCACTAGTGCGCAATTTTGTTTTTCCCGCACTAGTGCGGGAAAGTGGCGTTCAGAAGAAGTGTCAGTTTTGTTAATTAATCAAACATTTTATCTATTTTGTCTGCATACATTTTTGCTAGATATACTAATTTATGCGCTCATAAACTATTTGAAATATTCCTATTTTCTATTTTAATCCATATTAATCTAATTTGTGAATATTTCAAAAATTTTATAATTTTTTTTGACAATATTTGACTTTTTGGTTCCTTTGAGGCGGGGCAGTTTTTTTACCTTAGAAATTTTGTTTATTGTAACATCAAATCGATTTAATACATAATTTTTTTCAATCATTCTTGAAAGCACTGGCGGCTCGTCAGAGGAGGCAGGGGAGGCTAAGCCTCTCCCAAAAAATTTAAAATTCAATCTCAATTTTTTATCCCTAATTCCTGATTAAAATAATAATTCACAAATTATACTTTCCAAATTTTGTAATAAATGTAATTAAGAACGATCTGACAACTTTATTTCAAACAATTCTGCGCCTCCACGACAAAAATGTGTGAATCTACTGTCCTTTTCCTGCAATTATTAAGAATAGAAATCGACCGGAGGCTAGACTCTCACAAGTCTCACATGCTTCACTGAAATCTAGCATTCAAATGGCCCGCGATTCGCGAATCTCAGCGTCCAATAGAAATGCCGGAAGCATATCGAACCACTACCTGGCGTTCAGCGACCATCGTCTCGAGAGGCGGCTAGCCGCACGGTTGAAAACACCTGCAATATTCTTGCTTTTTTTTATCTCTGTTTTAAGCAATAGTGTTCCAGGTCACTTTTCTAGTTGGAAGTTGTAGATTTATATAGTTGATTGAATTTTTTTTGCATCAGGTGCATTGTAAATTATTGTACATACAATTGTGCATCTTGTTGCGGAAAGAACATAATTATTATCATAATTATTCATGATTATCAATTTGTGTCTTCCTTGTAATTTTTTATTTTTTATTTTTCGTCAAAATTAGCTCTGAAAATATATACTTATATGAAGAAAAAGAACATTTTCTTAAATATTCATGGTTTTTATTGAATTTGAGATAAGGGCGTGGGCATCCCAAAACAAATTTTGCCTGCTGCGCAGTGGTTACCTTTTCGTTTTTCATGTTTTTTTAGCTGCCTCACTTGAAATAGTCACGAGCCGCCACTGCTTGAAAGTAAACGTAAAAATATAAAAATAACTAATTTTGTAATTAAATTTCTTTAATAATATATCGCTTTGAATTTACTTAGTTTTTGTTTTTATATTTGAACGCGCTCGTAGAAAAAATAATGTTCCTAACTCATGCGGAAAGTGTCTTTCCCGCACTCGACTGCTTGCTCGAACTCCGCTTCGCGTCGTTCGGGTCAACGGCAGTCGCGTGCGGGAAAGTATCACTTTCCGCACTTGTTAGGATAATAACTATTATTATCAAATAAATATGGTGAAAATAATATTATTCAATAAATAAGTATTAATACTAATACATGTCAGCGTTGGACTTACCTATATTATTAATTTTCACCGTTTGTTATTAGTTTTCATAAAAAAAATGTATTAAAAATTTAAAGGGCCAAGCGATGCGTTCGCTGAAGCACACTCGAAAATACGGCAACGCTGGTTGCTTTTGCCTTAACATTGATACAGTGACGAATCACCGAAAAACTGGGAACGCGAAAAATTGTATCAAAAAATTGTATCAAAAAATAACGGAAAACCACTAGTACGGAAAAATTGTATCAAAAAATAACGGAAAAGCACTAGTACGGAAAAGTGATACTTTCACGACTTAAAATGCGTGCGGAAAACTATACTTTTCCGCACGCTCGTTTCACCGGCATCATCTGACATCAACTTTGAATTTAATCCATGATTAAAAATTCCGCTTAAATTTATAATCTTCGGTCAAATTTAAAGTTGGTGTCAAATGATAGCTTATGGAAATCTAAGATAGGAATGTAAAATCGGTTTTCTTCTAAAATTAATTTAGGTTTTACAGTCTGTCAAAGATGCAAAAAAGTCAATTTCAAACTGTCAATACTTCCGAAACCGTTGAAGATAGGTATATGACATTGTACATGAAATATGTCTAGAATTTTCCGCAGAATCCAGAAATGTCATAATATACAGGGCTAGTCATTTAAAAAAACATAGCCTTGTGTCACCACTACTTATTGGGCCACCCTGTATAATGGAAAATAATTTAGGAATGTAGCACTCATGTTTATCTACAAGTTTCGTATTTACTTTTTTCTTCGATCTCGGTAAGTATAGGAGATAGGGACCACCGCGCTCTTAGTAACTCACCCTGTATAAAACATATAGGTGTGTGGGTATGTGTGTATGCATATATACTATAAATTATAGATGTAGAAATTCTTGACTGGCTTTTTTATTAAGTGAGATGATTCTTGGGATTCAGTCTTGGCAAAAATAAAACTAGTTTTTCACAAACGCCGAGCTTTCGGAAATTTTATTGTTTCCTTTTTCAAGGGTTCAAAGTTAGTTAAATTATTTTAGAATTAGCCATTGTTGGAAAAATTTTTGATTTGTTCTTTTCTTTTAACTGTTGCTCTAATCTTGGAATTTTGCGTCTGATAATTTTGAAAAGTGACGAAGTGAAAAATTACAAAAATTACATACTTTTTTTAAAATTGTATCAAAACGCCCCATTATTTTTGTCCGACAATTGATCCGATATGCGTTACACATGTAAAGAAACAGTAAAAATAAAAATTGCATCTGTGGTTGTAAATAAAATTGTTGCAGGAAATTGA